CAATAAGCCAGCATCAACTGGGACAGGGTCTTCAAGCACATCCCTCTTTCCAGCTGGGTCAAGTAGCTCCATTGGGTCGGGATTCAATAAGCCAGCTCTGAGTGGGAGAGGCTCATCAACCATTGGGTCTTCCTCTGGGTCAACTGGGTCAAGCCTGAACCCTAGCTCAAGTGGGACAGGTTTAAATAAGCCAGTGTCAAATGCAAAAAGCTCCTCAAGCTTGGGAACATCTTCTGGGTCAACTGGATCGACGAGTAAAAGTGGGTCTCCATTTAATTGGTTTGGGATGGCAAACAGTAACTCAGGACCAAGTAAGACAGGAACTGGAACAGGGAAAGGAACATCAAGTGGAACTGGTTTTGGTGGTGCAGGAAGGACGAGTGGACTGGGAGGTGGCTCAGGTATGTATCCGTATTACCAAAAAATATTGTCTCACATATCTCTGCTGGTATCTAGTAGGGTTGATTTGATTCTAGACCCCATTATAATAATAATCCACTGTAAATGAGCAGCTCTGATATTTGTAGTATTTGTAGAACCTCAGCAGAAATGCTAACTGTTGGCAGTTCTTTAGTACTGAGACTAAAAGCATCTTGATTGATTATGTCTAAATGGTGACAAATCACTGTTTTCTTATGTTTAACCAACAGTCAGCGTTGCTCAGCACCTTCAAGATCTGCAACGCCTCATCAACCCCCCTGTCCCAGAGTGAGTATCACGCATCTTTAGCTGTATCTTGAGAGTGAATGCGAAAGTGTCTTTGTTGCGGTCTGAACATTGTGTGCACAGAGGCGATATTCAAAATTTGGTATCGTCAACAAATAAACCAAGAAATAATCCAGTATTCTCTTGCAATCTCTCTCTCTCTCTTTTTCTTTCTCACTTCTTCTTTTTCCAGAGAGAAACAAGATCTTTCCAGAATGTTGGGTTAGTTCATCTTCATGTGAAAAACCAAAATTTAAAAGAGATGTATCTTCCATCTATTACACACAGATAAATGCAAGCTTCTTATATTGAGTTCACATTTTGCATATCAATATAAATGTACCATATACTATACACTGTGACATTTTATACTTAAAAATGCATATATAAAAGTAATTTGAATAACTTTTGCACTTTTGAATTTGAAATGTGAAGTTTGTGTGTTCAGGATTTGTATCTACCCAGTATGCAACTTTGCATTAATAAGCACATGTTTTTCTATTTTTACACTGTAAATACAGAAAAATAAAAGCTTTGTTTAGATGTAAACACATCAACTGTGCCTGTGTCTTCTTTATAAACAAGTTTATTTAAGATATTACCCTATGCAGACCCGGAAATGACTGTTTGTCCCTGTGTGCGTCACCTATTGTGTGGCTAATTGTCTGCAAATGGCTCCCCAACCCCTCCTCTAATGTTTCAGGCAAGATTTACTGGCAACGCGATTTAATCCTTCCAGCATGTTTATGTTTACCTGCCAACCTGTCAGCAGGCCGGCGGAGGCAGATGGGAGGAACCTTTGGAAACGCTCTTGTACACGCTGTTTTTAAAAACAATGTGCCATCACTTAACTGTAGAGAACACGGATATCCATAGCCCCAAAAAAAAAACAACCTAATGTACTCCTCAGAAATAACATGTGAGTGGTAAAAAGATTCATCTTTGTATCTGATGAGTGCTCTGACCTTTCCCAAAATATGCCTAAACACAGAAACAAAAGCAGACAGATTTTATTTTTAATGTTTGGTGATTGCTTGGTTTACAAGACTAAGACACAGATATTAAAGTAGAGAAATATAAACAGGATTATTTCTTTGTGTGTATCCAGTGTTTTAACATTTGTGAGATATGAATGGCACTGTCCTTAAATTTCAGAAATTAGTTTTATATTATTGACATTGATCATGGATCATTGATCATTTGTATAACATTACCAATACAAACATCAATATGGAGCCAAAATGGAACGGGGAAACAAACCGTCATGAGAACAGACAAACATCCTGTACGTTGCACTGTGAAAGGATGGAACGTACTGTTAATTCGAGAACCAAAAATGTATTGTGTTGGCGCCAATTAATAAATACAGTACTTAGACTTGAGTGAACGGAGAGCTCTTTCCCGTCTAAAGGATATCCTTTGTTTAACATCAAGTGTTTTTCCACATTTGGGATGTGCAGCTTACTGCAGGAGTAGCTGTGAGGATTTTAAAGGTCAACTGGTTGGATTCTTTTGGGACTCACTTTATTAGACTGACGGATTCACAGGACGCGTTGAAACTACATCACTGGAAAATCAGCATGATTGACTGTGCATGTTTCCTGTGATCTCTGCATTTTCCTGTCAACTCATGTCATTTCTCTATTCCCTATACACAAATAATACAGTTGATCATTGTTTCAGCTGACACAACTGAGTTACAGCAACAATAACTGTGGAAGGGAAGTAGAGATTAAATTATGCACTTTCCCACCTTATATTTACCAGCTGGTTTGAGGATTCAACAACCAGGAGTTTACTTAATTGTTATTTATTTATTCACACAAACGTTATTAAAAATTGTATTTAAATTGTTCTGAATGTAACATTAACTGTAAGTCTCAGCAACCCTGTAGTACAAAAGAAGAATAAGTTCGGCAAAATGAAACAATGGACAAAATTGAAAAATATATAGAATTACAACAATAATATCACTCTGAAATGTATAAATACGTGTATATAAGAATCCAGTTGTAGATAGTATATTTTAATAATTGCAGCAGTTGGTTGAATCCAAACTTAAAATGTGAAGGTTATGACCCAAATACAAAGTGGATCCTTTGTGTTTGTTGTTTGCAGCTTGTGATTGTTGGGGTGTAATTTGTCATGAAAGCGAAACTTATAAACTTTTTTGAATAAAAAATGTTTTCCCTATGTCCTCATTTTTCAAGTTGTTAGTTATTATTATAAATAATAACAAATAAAACTACATGGTCAGTTTGTCGTCCTTAGATTATTAACCTCATTGCTGGCTCAGCATTATGGACAGCACTGAGACCACTGATGCAGAGTTGGGGCCACTGTGTCGCAGCCTGACCGACCACCTCCCTCCTGTCCTGGTGCAGGAAAGGGAACGGGTGCTTATGATTACGACCTCCTTCCTCACCTGGGGTCGCAACACTGAGACCTCTTTTGTCCATGGCTGCTAATGTTCCCCCTTTACTTTGACTTCTAATTACATTTCCTATCCGCCTGGCCTCCCTAAGTCCCATGGCTGCCCAGGCTGGTAAAGACATCAGGGGGCAAAACCCTTTCTCTTGTGAAGTTGTATAGTTTTGAGGGGGAGGGAGGTAAGCGCTGGAAACAGCTGGGAGGAATGTACTCACATTGATGTCCCTTTGTGTTGAAGTCCTTCAGCGCAACCATGACTTTCACCTTGACCTGTTTCTGAGAAGGAGTTCTGTAAAGGAAAACACAGGCCAGTGTAATTAATTTAAGAGGATGGGTTTGACTTAATGTAACCTTTGTTTGAGCAGCTAGACCTAATGTAACCTAGGTTTTATGGACAATCTTGCAGTCTTAAAGTTTATGGAGGACAAACAATGACATAGGCATAAATAAATGAATGCAGAAATAAATAATTAAATACATAATACATGGCAGCTCATATTCTTGATAACGTTGAACCAGAGCAGAGATGCTCCACCTACTGAAGTGACTGCAAGCCAGCCGGCCAGTCTTGCTCTCAGACCTTGCTGAGAGCTAGCTGCAGCTCTCTCAAGAGAGCGGCCTCCTATAGAGGTTTTTGTTTCCTCGGGGATGGAGGTTTTGCATAAATATAAATGTCCATTGTGAAATTAATGGGTACTAGTTGTTTTCCACTTTGTTCTCATGTGGGGTGTTTTGGTGTCTGATTTGTCTCCTGCCAAGAAAATTGATTACAGTGCCAATATTCATGTGATTTAGAAATAACTCTCACACGTGGAGCATGTCTCTGCTCCTTTGGTGCTAAGGGAACAAAAAAGCGCGCTGAGACGTATCTCCCGCCGGGCTACCTGTCTTGTTTGTCTCGCTGGTTGATGATTAAAATAGTAAAAAAGTTCATGAAAAAATAAAAATTTGTATCGAAACTTTCAAATATGTAATATATGTGAGCAATACTAGTCTTGTGTCTACAGCCATGCTGGCTGCTCTGTAATTATACTGGCACAGCAGTACATAGAGCTAAATGCTAACATCAGCTACCATGCTGATGTTTATTGGGGTATAATGTTTAGCATATTCACCATCTGAGTTTAGTGTTTTAGCATGCTGATATTTGCTGGATTGAAAAGTCAGGGGATCAAATGAAATAAACATATATCACTATTCGCTAACAAAACAAACCATTTTGGTGACAAATGACACAAAATATACACTGAATTCAACAGAAACTCCAGTTCACCAACATTTTTATATTAGCAAAATGTTCTATCATATTGTTATCCCTTGCTCTGTAATCGCCCACTGTATATACCAAACTAAAACTAAATAGAGTGGAGACAAGAGGCTTTACTTAGGAACAAATGACTTTTTCCTCAAGTGTCAGTTGTCGCCGAAACCACTACACCACAAGCAGGGATGGAAAGATGATTACTGATCATAGTCGGCTAAGAAAGAATTGCACAACTAAAGCCACTGCAGTTAGTTGATTTGAAACCCTCTCACCCCTTGAGAGACAGGAGTCACACAGACTTGCACAACACACACATGCTGACAGATGATAAACTTATTAGGTCAAGTTGAGGTGATTGGACAAAGCTGGCTCAGCAGGATGTCCACTCCTTGACCCCATCAAACCAAATAAGAATAAATATGTGCGTGTAATGAAGAAATATTAAAAGTTTGGAGGTTATCAGTTCAATCTTTGGGAAAACATAAAGTGAAACCAAGAAGTGGGTTCTCTGTAACTAATTTCAAATGTCACTACCATGGAATTCTCTACCACATAAACAAAGATCTGCTTCCTCTTTCAAAAGCAGCCTAAAACATAACTATTGCTTTTAATGGGTAAAAGTTCTATTTTATAATCAGTATTATTTTTATATTTGTAACACCTGCTTGTATGTTTTTGTCTTGTATAATCTTTGCCTATTTTTTGCCTATACTTTTATTTTGAAGCACATTGACCCTGTCACATGAAATAATATGTTTATAAATAACTGACTTTTGATAATATCTCAAATTCGTACAAGTCTATTCAGAAGGTCACCTGACTCCAGCAGTTTCATGTATAAAATATAACAATAAGTTGAGAGGCGGGGCAGCCCAAAGGCATACAATTTTCCAGTGATTTGTCACTATACAAACAGTGTCAATCATTTTAATGTCATTTTATAGTCACAACATAACATCAAAACTGGCATATGTGCTATTTTTTTGTAATTTATCAGAAGCTAGAACGTTAACGTCAAACCTTTCTGTTCCTTATCAGTTCCTGAGAGCTCGTCTTTTTCCTGTTAAAAGATTGTTTTGTTGAATTTTCCCACATCAAGGGTGTCAAATTATAAAGCTATCTGAGACAATTTTGGGGATTTCCTGCCAGGAGGAGAGTCAGCAGATTTTTAACCTTAAGGTCTAGATCTGGTCTGGAAAGTTTATGAACAGAAAGACATATAAGACATTTGAATAATGTGGCAGCAGCCTGACCCTTCTTTGGTAGCTTTAAGCCCAACCATCTACTGCCTCTGCCTCCATCTAGTGTCCATGATAGTGTATTGCAATATTGATCTTCTTTAAAATCACTTCTTAAAACACATTTTTATAGACTTGCCTTTATGTGATGTGGTCCTTTTTACTTGGTGCCTTTATGTTAGATTTTTTCACTCGAACCATCTTCTGAGTTGCGTTTTACTTGATTTTATTGTTATTCCATTTCTCTGTATTGTCACCTACTTTGAGGTTTATTCCAATCTGCCTTGATTTATTTCACTTAGCTTTGGTCTGTCCAGCGTTTGTATCATTACCTTCTGTATTTTCAACTAGTTTCATGGCAGAGGTGTTACTTTTATCGGTCCGTTTGTATTCGTAAATTGTATTCTGCTGGTTCTGTCCCAACACACACCTTTTGTAAAGCATTGTTTACACCAATCGCTATACCAAAAAAACAGTCTCTTATATTATTTTATTTATGATTATTATTATCTGTTTCTGCAAAAATATCACAGCAGAATTCAGACTAAGTGGAAGCTTTGTAGAGTGGAATTATATTTTGTTTCCATTTTTACCAAACACAAAAGTTGATCAGAGGTCATTATACTGAAGGTTGTATGTGCTTTATGCTTCTCTCAGACCTCAGCTTTGAACCCAGCCCACAGTCACAGTGGTCTACTCTTCTGTTTGTCTTCATTACTCACAGTGCTTGAAACAGTGAACTATACAGACACAAAACACCCTCTTCCAGACAGAGCTGAAGGAGAATTTGTCCATGTGTTGACAAACCTGTGACAGGCGAGCCTTAGGGTGATGGCCCCAACAGAAGGTGTGAATGAATAATTTATCCCAATAAATCAAATTAGTGTTTCTCTGGCACTGTTGAGCAAATTATTTCCACACAAGAGTTTTTATTTATATTGTTGGTGGAAAATGAGACGTGTTACGTTTGTAGGGCCTATTGAGAGTAATTTATTTAGACATTGGTTAACATGTTGCCCGATATCCAGTAGCTATATTTTCATAAATCTCTGTTTTGTGTTCCGAGTTAAACAGAAAGTGAAAAGTTTATGGGAGCAAAGGCTTTACCGCTCAGGGCTTGTGAAGAAACAGGTAACTGCCCCAGGGGGCTCTAAACCCCAAAAAGCTTCATGTTATTTGGTTTTGGTAGTTTCAGAATTTGCACCATTGATGTGTCCAACCATGTCTGTTAAAGGTCCAATTTAGGAAGATCTATTGGCAGNNNATATTTATAGGTATGTTTTCATTCATGTATAATCACCTGAAAATATGAATGGTTGTGTTTTCATTAGCTTAGAATGAGCTGTTTTTATCTACAGAGGGAGTGGGTCCTCTTCCACAGTGGCTGCCATGTTGAACCAACATGTTTCTACAGTAGCCCATAACGGACAAACCGAACACTGGCTCTAAATAGGGCCTTTCATGTTTTTTGCGTGTTTCATGGCCACCGTAGTTTCTCCTTTGTGCTTGGAAGGGGCGGGTGGAGCGAGGGAGTTGCATTCTGCAACTACAAGAATTGATGCCACTAAATCCTACATACTTTAAACCCTAAACTACAGCCAGCAGCTGGTTAGCTTAGCACAATGACTGGAAACAGGGGAACGGCTAGCATTGGCCTAAACTTTATGGGGAGTTATATGAGGAACTGCAGTGCAAGGACTGGAGTTTCTGCTGGTCATCCTGTTTTGTTCAGTTCAGTTTTTCTACATATCAAATAAAGATATATGTGATATGATATATGTTGTTAAATAGTGAGCTTTACTGTGCTGGGTGGACTGGTTACCCTTGGACAGAGTCAGGCTAGCTGTTTCCCCCTGAACAATGACCTTCTCCTGGCTGTAGCTTCATATTAACTCTCAGAGAGGAGCTGGGGGGGCTTGAAACATTTTTTTGCCCCGGTCTGCCAAACAAATGAATCTGGCCCTGCTAATCTGAGACATTCAGTGTCAACTATGTGTCATTTGGAAAGTAGGCAATACCATTCTAAAATAGAGTAAAGTAAATATACATTTTTGTGACCTAACACTGTCAAACTAGGCAACATATTTTTCTTCCAATAGAAAAGATCAGTAAAAAGTCATTGTGGGACATGTAGTACAGTAGATGTATCCTGATTAATACAATCGAATGCATATTATACCGAACCACCTGCAGCTGTGCATGTGCAGCCAGGACACATACATGTCAGTGTTTATAGACCTGCAGCCTGCGGCGGTGTCTCCCTAAACTCTGTCGTCACCACCCAGTCACGACTAGTGCGCGTAGCGTGTAGATGCCATGATCATGTTCCTCCTCCTCCTCCTCCTCCTCATCTATCAGATACACTAGGGGTGTTTTCCTTTACATGCAACGGCCATGCAATAAAACGCGAAAGAGTCCTCCGTGCAGCGAGGTCTTTCAGCCCCATCACCACCACCTGGAGTATTTGCGCACACCAGCATGCAAGCGGCGGGCACCGGAGCAACTGACACCGACGCTACTGTAAACAGTAGCAGCAGCACCGCAGACGTCGACGACAGCGACGGGGCAGGGGAGAGGATGGAGAGGACGGTGCCAAGCGAGCAGCAGGACAGGACCAACAACCAGCAGCAGCAGCAACAGCCGAAAACGTCCTTATCGCCGTCCTCAGTGCTCGGTGAGTGTCAGAAAAACGGTCATAAATCCGGTGTCCTGCAGCGGAGATCAGAGGAAGCTGTGTTTGTGTTCATTTGCAAAAAAAAAAAAAAAAAAAAAGGGGGATAAAAGAGCTTAGGCTACACTGCATGTGCAATATGGTGCAGTCACTGATGCTTCATCACTTCACTGAATGACTTACAGGAGACTGAAGGGGTCAATCGTCAGTGATTGGGTTTTGATTTCGGTGCGTCTTTCCTTTTCCCGCTACATAGTGCGCATTCCGATTCACACAGGCCCGGGAAGAGTGTGGTGGTCCACAGGTGCATGCAGGACTCATGTGCAGCGGAGCAGCATGTCCCGACGGGCCGTGCTACACTATACTTTACAGAGAGTAAAGATTGGGTTGCAGGCTCAGGTGTCAGCCGTGTCCGTTTTGTCTCAGGTGTTGAAGACTTGGGGATAATGCAGGAGAAATATTTCAGTGGTGAGTAAGCAAACGACTGGGATTATGGTTATTCCTGGAACTGCATGATAAGTGTTAAGCAGCACTGAAATTGTGGTATTTTATAACCTTTATTAGGTGCATCAGGGGGTTTGTGTTCTTCACTGGGAGCTCTGAGGTTATCCATTATCTAGGGCCCCTGTCCATCTCAACCCCCCCTGAGTTGTTAAGTTTGATGCCCGTCCAGCATCTCTGGCAAAGAGAAGAGAGTGAAAGTCTGGTCCTCTGGAAATGACCATATAAGCTCTCCAATAGTTATTGCTTTGATTTTCATCTTGACTTCGAGCCAACCCATGTTAGCCTATTGTAAAAAAGCATTTATGTGAGTCAGGACAGGTGACTTAACTTTAAACATTCAAAGGATTAGATTATCAATCTGTAGCCTTTAAAATGAAACTATTTCAGATTTCCTTCGAATGGATTCATTTATATGAACAGTTGAATGTGGTGGGCTTTTGGTTGATTGGTTGGTTGAACCTCTGGCTAGACGTTTATTGGAAATTATGATGTAAGTTAAATCAGGTCAAGATTTATAATGTCAGTAATTCAATAAATGTAATATATTACCAAGCTCAACTGAGTGGTATTGAAAAGGGTTTCAATGTCTAGGCCTATATATCTAAGTCCATCTATATCCAAGATCAGTATGAATTGTTATGTTTGTTTCTGGATAGTCATGTCACGCTATGGCTGATGTTCTGGGATACTTCTGACTTAGAAATAGCTTTTTATAATTGAATATTCTGTATCATGGTTAATGATATTTTTAAAAAATCCCATGATGCAATTACAATGGTTGACGATAAATCACTTTATTTGCTAGCCCATGTTAGGAAGCTTCAATGTGTCCCAGTCTATAGTGCTTACAAAAGTTTACATAAAAGGAATAATAAAAAAGATATCTATACAGTGCACTCCAGTTCTTCGTTCTCTGCTGCAGATAGACATTAAATCATCTCCTCATACATGGCAATGTTCCTCTGAATGGATACATTTCCACTGCCTGGCAGAGAGATTTGCGTGTCCGATGTATCTACATGTCTTGTGACCTTAATGGGCAATGATGTCAGTGACCGTCAGAAAGACAATCACTCTGAAGTATTCAGAAAAACATACAGTATATGCAAGACAAAGGGAAAACAGCATTTAGTGTCAGTGACTTGGTTTGGATTGCATCATTCTGTCACGCACACGCACAGTCAAACAGAGTTTTATCAGCAGAATTGCTCAGTGATTTATAATCTCATCATCTTTCTAAAAACATCTCCAGATAAACTCCTCAAACACCAGAGCTGCTCTGCTGCACAACTGGACACTGGAACACCGTCCTGTTACGTTTCCTTCTGTCATGTATTATAAGTAGAGTATATTAATTGTTTATTACAGTCACTGAGTTGGCCTGTCAGTCTAAAACATTATACTTGTAGCAGAGAGATGGCAGCAGCTCTGATGGCTCTCAATATAAGCCTTGCTCCAAGTAGATGATGTGATAATGCAGTTACTCTGCAGACTGTGAAATCCTGATCAAAGACACGTCCTGAGAGTGTCACAGTACGACTGAGTGAACAATAAAGAGATCGGTCAGTCACTATTAGGCTATTGTGCCTGCGTGAGACAGACAGTGACTTGAGAGTGTGACTTTAGAGTGAGAACCAACGTGTGAAAGAAGAATAAGCAGCAAAAATTATGTCTTCAGAGCTTACACTGCATTGTGATAAAGCACAAGTAGGATAACACTGCTGGGAAGGCCTGTTGCTTAATGGTTTGAGAGACATACTCAAAAAGCTGGTTTGCTACTGGCTATTTACACACCACCCAGTTTACATATAGTAAACTGTTCGATGGGCTTTGCCATCACTGTGTGAAAGTGTGTGAAAGGGCGAATGTGGCATATAGTGTAAAAGTGCTTTGAGTGGTTGGAAGACTAGAAAGGCACTATACAAATACAGCCCATTTACCATTTACATATCCTCTATTGTTTAGAGCTTTTAGCATTTGGTCTCTGACCAATGCAGCAAAGCCAACCTTCACGCTGGCTGAACAATTGTTTTGGACATTTCGTCTCTGTGACAGAGCAAAAAATAGGAAAAGACAAAAAATATGGTGCACAAATGACACCAGTGATGAGTGGCAGAGTGAGACTAATAACTAACCTGTCATCTGTGCCCTTGATCAGGCTCATAATAAAATATCACCATCTGCCTGTTCCCCTTTTCTCTCTCACACACAATGTCTGACTCTGACTCTCTTTCTCATTCATTTTCAACTTTATTAACCCCAATTTGACTCACTCTCACCTTCTCGCCCTACTACCTCCTTCTTCTATTAAGATAAATTGTTTGGGAAGCGCTTTCTGCAGGCCAGACACTACATTATGTCTCGGAAGTCCTGGCTGAAGATGGTGCCCACCGAAAACTGTGACATCCTGATGACATTCCCAGGTACAGTAAGCTCCAGCCTGCCCCCTGTTCATCCTGTGACGAATACCTCTCTGTAGAGAGAACAGCGCACCCGCATTAAATGTCTTTGGTGGTCAGCCAGGACTTAAAGTGGTCTCTGGGGACAATTAGATCTCATCCATTAACTGTACCTGTATCTACAGGCCAGCCCTTCTATGTAGTTTGACTCAGACGGATACATTTCATACACACAGAAAAACATATTCTCTGTATTATGTTGTATGCAAATACTTCAGTGGGCTTTATCTTCAGTTCCTCTTTGAGAATGCACTGCAGATACTTTGTTTGGCATATATTGTATGAATTTTGAGACGTTCCTTTTGTTATAAAAATGCACATTTTACAAGATAGCTTAATGTTGCATGTGATAAAGTCTTTGTACTTAGGTCCAAAGTGAAGTCCCAGCACAAAGAACAGCTCTTGTTTAGATGTCTGTTAAATTAACATGAAAAGACACAACCATAGCTTAAGAATTAATTTTTTTTTTCTTGTGGCTATTCTGAACACAAAGCTTTAAAGATTTTTGCTCAGTGCTATTTTAATTACATACATGTAGCATAAATGAAATAATTTGTCATACCAACTGACGTGTTACAGCAAACACAATTAAAATATATTTGGTGTTTCAGCTTTAACTGAATTTTCTTTTATCATTTACATTACGGCTGACAGTTTAACTACTTTCAGTGCTTACATACAAACTGACAGTTCAACTGCCTACATGCCTTGACTACAATTTCAGATACACTTCAACATACATTTCAAACACTTTCAGTACTTTAGCTTCAACTGACAAAGTGCTTCAAGAAGTGCAACTCTCACACATGTCAGATGCCAACAATTTACATTTAAAGACCATTTCACTTGTTTACAGTGTAGTAACTGCAATTGTCAGTTTAAACGAACATACTTAAATGTATAATTACATAGTGTATGTTTCTAAAAATGAGTATTAACCAGTTACAAAACTGAATCTGAACAACATACAATATACAGTATATCCAGTATTATATAAAAAATACAACATTGTGAAAGAAACAAAATAAAAAAACGTCACACTCTTAGTCAGGCCTGGAACTGTAATATTGTGACCTGCCTGCAAGGTTAAACATGGTGGTGCTACCAAAATCCGAATCTAGCAAATCTCACTGCATTTAGCAACTCTGTCTCAGTCAAGGACAAAAGTGGAGCAACATTAAATAACCCCAAATTAAATTAGTTGTGTATAAATGATGAAAAGTATGCTGTCAACTCTAAATAAAACTGTTTTTTCTCCCTCCAGATACAATAGATGACCACACTCTGCTGTGGCTCCTGAATCAGATTCGTGTTGGAATCCCTCAAGTCAGCATTCAAGTTCGACAGCATAAGCACACCCAGACACACGCCTTCTTCATCACGACAACGTTTGAGAAGTAAAACTTGGACTGTGTGTGCATGCATGTGTGGGCTGCTTCTGTGTTTGTTTGAACTGTTCTGAGTGAGGACATTTTGCCTAGTGCTTACTTTTCCAAGTGGCTGATGAGTGTTGGTACTTGATTTTAGAACGGAGGTTAGAATAATGGTCAGGCATGGCAATTTAAATGTTATTCCTACTGGTTGGTAACATTTTACCTTTTATTACTTTTTTTATCACTCTAAATTACAGTTGTAAATCCCCATTAGGTTTTGCAGAAGCCAATGTTGTATTTACATTTTATTTCAAGGTTAAGGAAGATACTATCCATTATGTCAATTAGGGTGAACAGACATAAGCATGTGTGTGTGTGTTCATCTGTATATGCATGTGTATGAAGTTTGTGCACCTTTGCAGATATACCAATATAAGGCAATACCAAGAGTTAGTATGTTTGTTTTTTATGTTATAGATGCCTAATGAAATGTTTGATAAGTCAAAGGAATTTGGGATGGTATGCATATTCGCTTTCTTGCGAAGAAGAGTTAGATGAGACAGTTGATACCACTCTCATGTCTGTGCAGTAACCATGAAGTCAGAGTTGGTTAGCTTATCTTAGCATATATATATATATAGGCTAGAGGACCTGCTCCAGGCTAGC